CTCAAAATTTAGGTAGGCTTTTGAATATAATGCTTATGGAGCAATTTGCAGCTCATCTGTTTCCAAATGAAATTTATGCATTGTAGAGTTACATTATTCAACAGATGTGACATTGGCCGCTTGGGTCAAGAAAAAATTCCATGTTACAATTCCAGTAGAGATAAAATGATACTTGTGAACAAAATAGTTCAAAAATAGAATAAATTTAATAAATTTCTAAACATATTCGTTCCTAAAGATTGGACCAGCCGTTCGTTTATTCAGCAGTTTCAATGGGCCAGAAATTATCTAAGCACTGGAGGGACAAAGGTGATTAAGACATATGAACTCATTTATTCAATAACTATCTATTGAGAATCTACTGTATGTTGGGGTCTTTTTAAAAAGTTGGACATAGAGCAATGAACAAGACAAAGTCCTTGTCCTCATGGAGTTCACATTCAAGTGTGGGATAAAAATGGTAAGCAAATAATTAGAAGTATGATGCCAGTAGTGTGAAATGTTATAGGTATGTAGCAGGATAAGTGGTTAAAGAGTGACTCTGTGTGTGTGTGTTTGTGGTTTTGTGTGTGTATGTGTTAAATAATGTGGTCAATTGAAGCTGAAGAGGATCTGGGGGAACAGTGTCAGGCTGGGGGAAGGGCAAGTGTGAAGTCTTCAAGAAAGTGGGATATTGGTGTGTTCGAAGCATACCAAGATGGCTGGTATGGCTAGAGTGGAATAACTGAAGAGAAGAGTTAGGAGATGGGGGTGGAGAGATGACAGGGACCGAGTCATGGAGTGCCTTGTAGACCATGAGGAATGATGGATCGGAGTGTGAAGGGATTGGGGGATTTGAGCTGTGAATAGCCCCCTTGCCAGCTGTGTGGAGAGCTGACTAGAGGGCGGAAAGGTTGGAAGCAGGGAACTGAGAGGTGATTACGGTAGTTTAGATGAGACATGATGGTGCCTTGGACAAGAGTGAAACAGTGTAGGTGGTGAGAAGTGATGGGGTATTTTGAATGTTGTGCTGATCAGTAGCAAGAAGGAATAATAATGAATGGTTTGAAGGGAGAGGGTGGGGGGTATTGTCATAGGAAGAAAGGAGTCAATGATAATACTGAAGTTTTGATTCTAAGCAACTGGGTGCAAGACAGTGGTCATGTACTTGCATGGGGAAGTCTAGGGGAGGACTAGATTGGGGCAGTTAAAGAATTTTGTTTTAACAGGTTAAATTGGAGATGCCTATTAGATATTCAGAGGGACAGTTGGATCTGTGAGGCTGGGTCTCGGGGAATATTGGGACCAGAGATATAAATGTGGGAGCCATTGGTAGATAAATAATAATTAAAGTCATGAGACTAAATACAACCAACTTGGGTATGAGTATAAATAAAGAAGGGAACTGAGGGACTGAACACTGAGGTTTGCCAACATACACTGTTTGGGAAGAGACAGAGTAGGCAGCAGAGGAGATGGAGAAAGATTTGACAGTAAAGGGAATAAAAGCCAGGAGAAGCTGTTATCCCAGAAACCAAGCAAAGAAACAGTAATAAGCCATAAAAAAGCCTCCAAGCCATCCAGTAAGATGAGAGCTGAGAAATGACCATGGGATTTGGCAAGAAACAACCTTCTCCCTCAGGAGATCCAAGCACAGTGGAAGTGGGAAAAACAAGAAAACAGATAAATTGCTCTACATCGTGGAAGCCGTCTTCTAGAAATGTAAAGAAATTTCTGGAGATGGGTTGAAGATGGAGCAAGGAACTCTCCTTATGGAGTCAAGAGGGCTTGGAGAAGAAGGATGCCTGGAGGAAAGATGCCTGCAGGAGATGTACTTTTGGGCGGACGGAAAAGAACTAAGATTCATAAAACTTAAATATTTTTTCTAGCTGGTTGTTAATTTTTTTTACAATCACTCATTCAAAACTGTTATTTCCCCTCCCAATTTAATATCCCACTACTATTACTCCATGCATATTTTATCAATTATCAATACATGCGATTACTGTATTATAAGGACATTACATACATCTCATCACATCCTACTCCATTTGGAGGATACTCTTCAAATTGTATTTTTCTTTGTTGTAGTCTTTATCTTTTTAATTTAGAGGTGGGGAGGGGCAGAGGGAGAGGGGAAGAATCTCAAGTAGGCTCCATGCCCAGCATGGAGCCCGATGCAGGGCTTGATCTCACAACCCTGAGATGACCTGAGCTGAAATCAAGAGTTGGATGCTTTTTTTTTTTTCTAAGATTTTATTTATTTATTTGACAGAGAGAGACACAGCGAGAGAGGGAACACGAGCAGGGGGAGCGGGAGAGGGAGAAGCAGGCTTCCTGCTGAGCAGGGAGCCAGATGCGGGGCTCGATCCCAGGACCCTGGGATCATGACCTGAGCCGAAGGCAGATGCTTAACGACTGAGCCACCCGGGCGCCCCAAGAGTTGGATGCTTAACTGAGCCATTCAGGCACCCCTGTAAACTTTATCTTTTAATTATATTTTAATTTCCTTTCCTAACTGTGTGCAAGTGTAGAGAACTTACTCTTAATAATAATAGCTACTATGTACCTCACACCATGTGTGAGTCACTGTTCTAAGAATTTCACAAGTATTAATTTATTTTGTTCTTACAAACACTCCTAATACTTCTATTGTCCCTTTTCTTTTCTTGTGATAACTGAGGGACAGAAAGGTTAAGTAACTTGCTCAAGGCCACACAGCAATGGCAGTGCCAGTATTAGAACTAAGCTCTCTGGCTTCAAAGCCCACCATCTTGAACAGTATGTTCAAGTATGCTTCCATCCTTACTATTGTTATAGCTCTACTTTCCTGGGATGGGTAGCTGTTAGGGAAAAATCTTCAAGGGATAGTCTCTCTTAGACTTCAGCTGCAATTTTCTAAAGACTCAGGAATTCAACTGCTGCTTGTGATTTCAGAATGCACCAGTAGGACCCAGGGACCGGATACTGCATACTTGTTCATATGGAGAAGAGAGGTAAAACCATAGAGTAGCCAAAATCTTTAAGGTGCTTTGGTGCTCAAATAACAGTAAGAATATACACATTTGAAATATAAAATAATTTCATCCTGGTGGAATCTAGTAGTTGAGCCTTTGTTTGAGCTCTAATATATTTTTTATAGGTTGACTTTATCCCTAAAGGTGGTCTTATCCTCTTTCTTTCTTAGACTAAGGCTGATAACTGGCTCAACCAATAGATGGGAATTGGGATACATCATTTTCAAAAGCACTTGAGGCCTCTCCCTTTAGTCAACTTTGGGCCTCACCTTTGATCTAAAAGTTTTTGAAATTAGGTACCAGCCAGTTTTCCTTTCCTAGCAGAAAGAGGGTATAGAATAAATAACCTTTGCTAAGATGTTTCCATGTCAAGTATCTTAGTAACTTACTTAAGTCCCGGACGTCTTAATCTTACTAGTTTCCACCCTCCCCCCAGAGTTAAAGTCTTCTGTTCTCTTTGAAATGTTCTTCTCTGGTCACAGTCATTATATTTTCAGAAAAGCTTAAGGGAGCTAGACTCAATTTTACAAATATATATATATATATAAAGCCTTCTGGGAAGTGGATATTATTTTCACTGTGGTACTGTGGTACTCTCCCAATCTGCTATGTAATATTGTCATAAATCATGTAACTGTAGGAGAAGGAGGGGACTTAGGTGATTGTTTAGTTCTGGAAAAGAAGCTACTTCCTAACAGAGAGAGGATTTCAAATGGCCACATAGCAAAGTCAACATTCACACAGGTTTCCTGTGGGCCGCTTCCCCTTTGCTGAACCTGACCCAAAGCCAAGGTGAAGGAAGGGAAAATTTTCTCTTATGAAATCTCAAATCTCTGATAACTCACCAAGCTGATCACTCTGTTGAAAAGAGCTATAAAATTAGGGTACTATAAACTTGAAGAATTTCATGAACTTGTTTTTGAGGAACAATAAGGTATGTTTTAGAAATTAAGAGAAAAAGTCAGAATGAAAATGGAAAAATTGATGGGGCGCCTGGGTGGCTCAGTTGGTTAAGCGTCTGCCTTTGGCTCAGGTTATGATCCCGGGGTCCTGGGATCGAGTCCTGCATCAGCTCCCTGCTCAGTGGGGAGTCTGCTTCTCCCTCTGCCCCTCTCCCTGCTCGTGCTCTCTTTCCCCCCTCTCTCAAATACATAAATAAGATCTTTTAAAAAAATGGGAAAATTGAGATAGGCTATCATATTGACAAGTACACCTACAAACTTTAGAACACTCAGAAAATAAAAGTAACTGAAAGGATTAAGTAGTGACTACCGTATTTTAACTGTCATGCCTTAAAATATTTTATGTCCAATTTAATCCTTTCTGGACATACTCTAAAACTATTCAAATGTTATTTTTCTCTTTATTTTTACTTTAAAAACACATTAATTCAAAGTGTTTCTTTGAATTCAAGATACAGACTGCCTGATAGATACTTAAGACCTTTCAGTACTACCCCCGCCCATCTACAGCCCCAGGAAGATAAAAGCCTAATAGTACAGCCACCGATTGTTACAGAAAAATGAGTGTTCTATCGTTTGTTAAATCTTGCCATTTCATTTAAGAATGGCATGAGGTAAATATATGAAAAGTGGCAAAAATACTTCTTTCACTAGTTGTGTGGTTAGTGATGATTTTTTTTAATTGTGTTGCAGTTACATTTTAGAATGTTCCCATAAAAAGTTATGAATCTTCCCAAGAACGTTGCGTGAAATCTCTGGCCCCAAAGCCTGGAGGGCAGTTCAGGGTATTTCCCCAGTATTCGTCGTTTGATTTAAGGGCGGGGGCGGGGGGAGTTGTGAGGATACCAATGGACGGACGAATTGTCCTAACCGTTCCAGCAGGGACCTTGGCTGTGTGTTTCGCTCCGGGACCTGGCGGCGGCCAGGCCCGCAGCCCCTACCGGCTGCCCTGCGAGCTAAAGCAGGCCCCTCTGAAGTTGGGGTGTGGCGGCCCGCATCGCGCACCCGGTCCGCAAGGGCAGGGTTTTCCGCCTTCCCTTACCTGCATAGTGGTCAAATACAGTGGGCACATACTCCTCTGGGAAGGCGTCGTTGGCGTAGCTCATCAGCAGGCAGGTTTTCCCCACGGCGCCGTCTCCCACCACCACACACTTGAGCATCTTCTTCTCCTCTGTGCCCCCGCAGCCGCAGCGCCTGTCACCGCGCTCGGTGCAGCTCATCGCGGCGGCTCCAGCTGCCGGCACCGGGCAGCTGCTGTGGCTTCTCCTGCTTCTCCCGAAGCCCATGGAGCGCGGGAAGCGGGCGAGCGGCGGGCTCGAGATCACCCTGCCTTACTTAGGGCGCCTGGGATCACACGGACCTGTCCCAGGCAGCCAGCACATGCCCTCGCACTTACCATACTGGTCAGGAAAGGTAGCACACATTTGGGAGAATGACTAAAAGCATCTGTCCCTTTTCCCTCTAGTTTGAGTTAAGAAACCCTCATTTTTTCTCCGAATTCTAGGGGCTGCGTGGCAGTCTAGAAATTTCAACAGCCTGAGGGTTTCCGCTGTGCTCTTTCCCTCTCCAGTCTGGCTAGAAGACACGGTAGAATTCTGCTAAATCTTCCCCTTTTTCCACTTCACATCTAACATGGAGGGAAGCTGGGCTTTTTAATGGAGTTTTCCCCTTGCTTCCTCCAGCTTGCCGAGTACCAGGAAATCATGGGTTTCCTGCTGCATTCCATATTAGGATCAGTAGGCTGAGGAAGGCTGCAACAATGGGAGCTCTGTGCGTTCATGTGTGTGTGTGTGTGTGTGTGTGTTTGTACTTGTGGGGAACGCTGCCAGGGCATGGAGTGGGAAAACACTAGGGGTCCCACTGCAGACTCAAGCTGTCCAACTTCCTGTTTCATCTGCTGCTGGGGAGGCTGTTTGCCTGGGGCTGGCTGGGAAGAAGCTGACGACAGGATGGAAACTGGGGAGTGCTGTCTGCCACAGAAACAGAGGGAATCGTTTAAGCGAGCAGAGAGAACCACACCAGCCATTGTAGGATAACAGATGACATCATCCCTCACTGAGTCACCAGTGAAAAGCTTTGCAGAGTAAAAATGGACAGTTCTTCACATACTTAAATGAGAAACTTTAGGCAATTCATCCAGGCGATAGAGAAGAAAACCTTCCAGAATTACATTGTTTCAAAGGGAAACATTCTTATAGATCATAGGTATGTGTGATCAAGTTTATGAGTTGCCACATTTGAGCACAACGCTCAGACGTGGACTCCAGACACAAACATCTTTATGGTTGTAGCACATAAGAAATCAACCAGACGTGGGACGTTTGCATCTTCTTATTTTAGCGAACAAACACACATGTGCTTGGCTCACAGTCTTGGAAGTGAGAGTATGTGGGTTGGCTTTATTGGTTTGCTTCAGGTCCCCAAATGCTGCTTTTGCTTGGATGGTTCCCTTTGAGCTTTACTCCTATTCGCTTGGGTCAGCCGGGTCCTCGGCCGTTATGAAGGAGCCATTGGCAGCTCATTTATTTGTCTGTTGGGTTGCTCAAAATGAAGCTCCTTTGAAGCCCTGTGTTTGATTAATGTACTTGGTCTTGGAGAAGAAGTGGAACTCTGCAAATGATTTTGACAAATGGATCAAGACGTTTTTGATGGGGGAGTCTCAGTTAATTTGAGATTTGTGAGCACTTATTTTCAAGCATTTAGATTACCCAATTGATTTGAGAAGGTTTTTTTGTGTCGGGGGAGGAGATGGGAGAGAAGTCTGTTTTAATAGGTGGCTAAAAATAATATAGGTAATATAAAAATATAGAATATTACTATTATAATGTATATATGTAAAACGATACATACACATATATATGCTACAGTGTAACAGATAGAGCCCCAAATTTCTTGTGTTAGATTATAGTAACATTCGCCATAGTGCTTAGTATCCCGGTATTTTTTTCCTAGGTTGTGTTGCCGTAACAAACAACTCCCAAAGTTCAATTATTTAAAGTAACACGTGTATTTCTTGCTCACATTGTTATCCATTTTGCATATTTTTGTTGCCCTCAGCCAGGGATCTAGAATGGTGGAGCAGCCACATTGAGAACCAAGGTGATCGCTGTGGCGGAGGAAGAAATTAATGTGGTCAAGTGACATTGGCTCCTAAAGCTTCCTTCTCAAGGTGACATTTCTGCTTGCATTTATTGGCCAGAGCAAGTCACATACCCATGCTAGGTTCAACAAAGCCAGAAGTATAATCCTACCATGTGTCAGGAAGGAGGGAACCAAATACTGGAGAACAGCCTGAACAGTTTAGAGGTACTTCAGATCACAGAGATAGTTTAGTTAGTTGAGATTACGTTAGCAGTAGGAAAGTTGAATTCTTTATGGTTGGTGTCATTTGGGAGCATTTGAAGGCACCTATGACTGCATGTGATTTATATAATTTTATTTTCATTTAGTCTACCCAAAACATTGGGAATATGTGATAATAAAATTGCAACTTGAAAATTTATGTTTTTCTTCTAGAAAAAACCCTCAAGGGTGAAGGTGGCAGCCAAGCAAATCTGCACAGGTAGAGTGGTTGACAATGTCAGGAACCCCAAACTGAAGATGAACAAGACCGCTTTGAGCACAGTGGGATGATTTGTGTCTGGCAGAACTTTGAGGGGTTCTGACTTTGACCTCATCCCTGAGATCAGGCAGTAAGTATGACATGGAGTAAATATTCTCGAGCAATGCCTGGCCCCACCTGTATTCCTACACTACAAATATGCTTGAGCCCACTGAACACTTGGACTAAGAAAAAACTGAGAAATTGGATTGGGTGAAATGTAGCCATGTCTACCTACCTGTGTCTAACCTAAATCTTGTGTCATCACATACAGATATTTAAGTCCATGCCAATTGGTATGTGACTAAAAATTGGGACATCAAAGAAGAGACTGGAAGCATCCAGTTGTGGTCCTTGACCTTTAACTCTAACTCAGAGGATTGGTACATCGGCCAGATCGGGTTGTATGCAAAGATGGGTCATGGCTGTTGAGAATGTTGGCTCTATTTCTCAAAATAAACTTGTTTCATCACAGTTTACTGCCCCCCAACCCCGACTGAATATTTATAGGAAAAAAATGTGTGAGACATCCTGTGGAAAATGGCAAAGAAAGTTAAAATTTTAATAGCCTGCTAATTATATGGATCACATTGTCCATGTGAGAATAAATCTTTTTAAATATTAAGAGATGGCGGGGCGCCTGGGTGGCTCAGTTGGTTAAGCGTCTGACTCTTGGTTTCAGCTCAGGTCGTGATCCCAGGACCCTGGGATTGAGCCCCGCGTCGTGCTCCACGCTCAGCATGGAGTCTGCTTGATATTCCCTCTCTCTCTGTCTCCTTCTGCCCCTCACACTCGTGCTCTCTCTCTCTCTCTAAAATAAATAAATAAAATCTTTAAAAATATAAATAAATATTAAAAGATGGCTCGAGCCAGAGTAACAGAATTTAAAGAAAAAAAAAAGTGAAAACAATTCAGCCTTGTTTTTATAGGTCCGTGTGTCCATAGAACTGTGACTACTTCCTTATTCAGGTAGAATGGTCAAGAATATGTTTTAATTCCAGAGATTTATAGTTATGAATTTAGAAGTGGTATGAAAACTGTTTGCTGAAATATTCTCAACCAGATGCCTGTATTTTAAGGATCTTGGGCCATTTGAATGATCGAGTGGTTGTTTCGTAGCCATTAATTATTGGTTTACCTCGAGCACCAAGTTTATACAAACTTACCAGTACGTGGTGAAATCTTGTTGAGCGATATTTCCTGCTTTTTTCTAAGATCCCAATTCCTTGGCTCCCTCCTGTCCTCTGAGCTGTGGTTTCACACGAATTTTCCCAAATGCCAACAGAGCATTTTTGCAGAAAATTCTGACTTCTCTGATTGCTTTCAGTTTTAGTATGATTTTAATAAAAGAGCCCAGATTTTTCTCCCCTGTCTATTTTTTTTTCTTTTGTGCTTGAAACTAGAAGTTGCACAGGGAAATGAGGCAATTGGATCAGATACTCTGATTCGGGATTAGCCTCTACATGGGAGAATATTTTGACTCCGGTCTTAGGAATGTGGGATGTGCTGGGGTTACGGTGATTCTGAGATGTCCAGCCCAGGCACGAGTCACCCCCTGTTCCACAAGAAGCCCTCTCTGGGGCTAATGTGGAAGTCAGACCTCTATGGTGGTGGGCAGTGGGAGACAGAAAGGGGAAGCATAGTTCTAGGAGTTCTGACCCAAATCTCCCACTGCACCTAACCTTTAAAATCAGCTGGGATATTGCTAAAACTTAACAGGCTGTCCTAGGACTGGCCTGGTCTGGAACAGCCGCTCCCCAAGAGGGATGAATCATTATTATCAAGAACACTCATGTATCTGTTTTTTTAATTTGTCAGACCACCTGTACTCAGCCTCTGACTATTGCCCATGTTATAATCATATGTCATATGATATGATATAAGATAATCATTTATCAGCCACATTTTCTTGGATATGATCTTTTTATAATTCTTGAAATGGCTTCCTTTTTCCTTGTTTGGAGGATTTTTGTTTCTTTGCCAAATCTCTTAATTCTGATAGAAGTAGTTACTTGTGAATCTTGGACAAATGGGGACTTCTTTCTGTCCTAGGAAAGAAGAGGCTGATATAGCCAGTAATGGTAAAGGGGTGTGTGTGTGTGTGTGTGTGTGTGTTCTGTATTTCACTATTGCATAATTTAACTCTGAATATAAAGCTTTGTCCCGGACTTGTGGATAATCTGACTATTAAAAAAATTTGGTCCCCCTCCATAGAAACCCAGAGATTAGGGATCTTTCATGTTCCCCCCAATCCGGAAAATCTGGAGATAGCTAACAGTTTGGAAAGAAATTTCCCATTGATTCCTGATTTTCTAGATTGAAGAGGTATGTTTCGGAAGGCAGACAAATATGAGGTTGAGGGGGTGCTGAGTTGTTTCTCTGTCAAGTCCATGGAGCAGGAATAGGTTTTGGAAATAGCCATCTTGGAGTCAAACAAAGATCTTTGATGATTATTTCAACTTGTTAGTGATAGGGTCCAAGATGCCTAAGGTCATTGGATTGGTCATTGTCTGAGTGGGAAAGCATCAGTGTCACTGCCTCAGGCTGAACTTCTTTGGGCTCAGGGCCCTGCCACAACTTATTGCCCTTTTTACATGTGGGATCTATTGGGGAAAGTGAGAAAGATTGGTGTAA